CCTACTCGCATCAGTTATGAGATACGGTCGCTACCATTTTAAAAATTTTTATTGTTGCCTTAATATCTAAAAGCACACACATGTACTGCGCAGTCGCTCCAAGGCATGGCAGCCTTGTACGGGACAGACTTCAGCTACCAGCAGGTTCGCGACCTTCCAATGTTGACACCGCGTTAACCTGCTGAATGGAAGTGCTGAGATAATTTGTCAGCTGACGTCAGAACCAAGCCTTGATCCAATAGTAGAATGGTCTGGTAGTCACAGACCGAAATGCAAGCGTGAGTGCCAGTTGGTAAAACCATTATTCATCCAATTTCAACCAATTTCAACCAGATATAATCATATTTATGTTAAGGTCATAGATTAAGCGAGCGCGCGCGCGCGCGCGCGTGTGTGTGTGTGTGTGTGTGTGTGTTGTGTGTGTGTGTGTGGTGTGTGCGTGTGTGTGTGTGTGTGCGTGTGCTGTGTGTGTGGATGTGTGTGTGTGTGTGTGTGCTGTGTGGTGTGTGTGTGCGTGTGTATGTGTGTGTGTGCGTGCGTTTGTATGCGTGCGTGCGTGCATGCGTGTGTGTGTGTGTATGTACGCGTGTATATTATGTGGCGTGCGTGTATGTGTGTATCCGTCTGTGCGCCCGTGCCTTTCTGCATGCGTGCAGACGTGCGTGCGTGCGTGCATCCGTGCGCGTGTCCGTACTTGCATGCTTCCGTCTGCGGGTATACACGTATTTGTTTGTGTCGAATTCATCCGCACGTGAAAGTAGGTGATTAAATTTTGGCGCGTCGAAGTAAGCGACGCGCCCGCCACCTGGCGAATCAACCCAAATATTCATGCAGTCAGCTGATAAAAGTGCGAGTGTCTCACAGTCGCCTATATCCTACACAACAGCTATAATGTCAGCACACACATATATGCAAACGGAAACGCGCGCCTACATACACATGAACCCACGCATACGCGTAATCACACTGAGCAAATCCGCAAAGACAGTGTATAATTAAGAAACTAACAACTAAATATTATAACAATAATATATTCCGTCACATATAGCCCTCTAAAACGTGTTACGCGTCTCAGTGATGAGAAAGCCAATGACGTTATTTAAATAATGTCGCAAATGCTGTATATTACTTTATTGGTCCAAACATGCAAGCAATGTTAGAAGGATTGAATAGATGGTGAAGTGTCGGTGGTGGTGTAATATCGGTGTAGAATGTTGGTGAAACGCAAATAGCCATATATCGATTTTATAATTATTATTATTAATTAATTGATAAAATATGCTGTCACGTGCACGCAACGTGTTCGAAGCGTCGGCGATGAAAATGGCCTTGTTTCGAGTGCAACTAAAAATGTTGTGGTGTAGTTTTCCAGTGCGCATGCTCATGAATTGATGGCGGCAGGTAACTTCAGACGGGCGGTAATTCCGTCATTTAGTCGCCATATAATTTGTATTTAGTGCTCGATTAGCTCCTACTAAGTTTATTCACGCGGTAGTAATTTCTCTTATTTTGTCACCTTAATAATTTAACAAGTTGCCGAGTGCCCGGAGCTAAATATCACCAGTCAATGGTCACATTGTTGGCACGAGCTTCAACTACAATGACACGGTGACGTTCTGGTGTGACGATGGATACTACTTGATTGGAAACGCAACTCTTACTTGCGAGCTACCCAGCATTATCCAGAGTATAGATGTGCTGTTGGAAGTTTCTGTGGGAGTTTGGTCTGACGATAACAACCAACGATGCGAACGTAAGAGTCATCGTCTTTGTTGTCGTGGTTGTATAAACGTGCATCACGCCATTTTTGGAGAAGAAAAATATATTGATAAATAAATAAATAAATAAATCTGTTAAATTGATATATATAGGCCTATTACCATGCAGTGTGTGTTAACGTTGATAGAGTTTAGCAGGATGCAATTGGTGCAATCTTCCGCTTTCACGTAATTAAGGCACTCATGTGGTTTCAAACAGCACGGTACGTCCTCCGACAATATTTAATTTAGTAGCGGACGATAGTTTAGTCATTGCTGAGCCAGTGCGTTATTTACTTATTATGAACCTTGCTCGATAATTTTTGCTTGTTTTTTTGCCATCAAAATTCTTATCTGTTCTATCATATTTATTTTTTTAACAAGTTGCCGATTGCCCGGAGCCAATACGACCAGTCAATGGTCACATTATTGGCACGAGCTTCTACTACAATGACATCGTGACGTTCTGGTGTGACGTTGGATATTACTTGATTGGAATCGCAACTCTTACTTGCAAGGAATCAGCCCTTAATTACACAGAGGGCGGGAACTAGTGGTTCGGAAAGCCTCGGGGGCATCTGGTCTGGAGTCAACAACCAACGATGCGAACGTAAGAATCATCTGTGTTTCTTTTTTGCGGCTGTAAATTTTAGCTTGTACAAATTTCAAGCGAGGTCGAAATCCTCAATTGAAATATTTATTCGAATATCACTTTGATTTTGAAGTGAGTTATACTACATCCGTCTGAGTGGAGAAGAAACAAAAACAAATATCGCATCAGAGATATCGCATTTAGGATTTGTGAAAATTGGTCTTGAGATGTTGATAAATAACTACTGATCTTCTCCCTGATCGAAGGTAATAAACAATTATTTTTTGTTAAATAACCCCGTGTGTATTGATATTAATTGTATTTCAATGATTGCCATATTATATCATAGCGTTGATGATTGATTGCCGTATATCACCCTATAGGCGCAATATCGCTACCATGACAAACATCGGGTCTAGTTTGCTACCCTTGCTCAAACATAGGTGAATGCTACTTACAAACGAGACCCGAGGTTTATCAGGGTGAAGATCGATGAAAACTTTCATTAGTTAATCGAGTGTCAGAATCAGCGTATAGAATATACCTTATAGAAGAAATGTAAGCATTTTTTGGAGAGATTACGCGAGATATCTAAATTACTTATTAATCTTTGCCCACCACAAAAGCACACACTTGTACTGTGCCAGTAGCTCCCCAGCATGGCAGCCTGTACGGGACAGACTTCAGCTACCAGCAGGTCGTGTCTACCGTGTGGATTCTACTGTGTGCGCGAGTATGTAATTCTACCGTGCTGAGTTAACTATGTGCGGACGCGCTAGGCAGGACCTGTGATTATACAATGGGTTCAGCCTCGTAATCCTACCGCGCGTTCGAACCGTTAACTGTGTGTGAACGCCGTCAATGGTGTGCTGAGGCTAGTAGTGCTGATGTGAACGATCGACGTAAAGAGTACGCTACTGTAACTTGAGCGTATACTACGTGTGTGCGCATCCGGTGGGTCAGCGGGGCGACCTCTAGAGTGAGGATGGTGGGAGCACGCGTGTCCGGCCGAGCGTGCGGCCAGTACTTAATGCAGTAAATCGGACCCCCGGTCCACTCGCATCTACTCCTGTGTCAGCCGAGCTATCTCTCGCTTATTCTCTCACAGTGTTGCCGTGACCACAGGATAGTAGGCGCGGCGATGGAGACCACGCGGGGAGGAAGACCGGTCAAGCTGCCCCTTCGCTATCGGCAGTGAATAAATGAGAGCGCCAGCCGGGGCGCGGTAGAAATACCAGGCGGTGTGTCCGCTCAAGGCAGAAACCGCTTGCCGGGGCGGGATACAAACACGAGCTGGGAGCATGGGCACGGGCTGGCGATTGATCACCGCTGGCACGAGCCTGTGATCCCGGCTTAAGGTAGCGAGCGCTAGCCGAAGCGCTTAAGAAATGTCCGGCGGGGAGAGCTAGCTAGCCGGGAAGGAGACATGGCGCGAGGAAAAGATGGAGGGACAGCAGCAGCGGAGCTGGGGACAGGAAGATCCCGCAGCGGCGAGGGACAGAGAGGAGGGCTTGGAATAAGCAGAGGAGACTCCGCAGCATTGAGAGGCGAGGGAAGGACACGGCGACAGCGAGCGGCCAGCACGAACGTGACGAGCTACGGGATAGAGATGGAGAAGGCGAGAAGGACGAGCACCGGCGCAGTGGTCTTGAAGGGGCCGCGGTGAGTAGGGTCACGTCCACCCACTGCTAGGCCAACACCGGGCCTATGATACGCAGCCTAGAGGGTTATAAGCGGCGCGTCGATGTCCGCCGGGTGGTTACCGGTTTGCCTTCCCGGGGGAACGGAAGCCGTTACGGCTGGGGAAACGCCGTAGTCGCCCGCCACTTCGTCGTCGACCCATGCGTCAGAGTTAGAGTGTGGGGGATGAGAAAAAGGGGAGTAGAGGGAGACGGGCCCTGCAAGAAGGCGGCGCACACAGGTGCGCCACATGAGTGGGTACTGTCTGAGATGCCTGGGATGGGGCAGAGAGGGGTAAACAGGAGAGTAGCGCTATCATGAGTTTAGGGATAATATACCGGAAGGGTTCTCCGGAATTATTGTATCTGTGTACGTAGTTAAGTAACGGCATACCGGAAGTGTTCTCCGGGGTAGTATTGAAATGTTAGTTAAGATCTTCGCGTGCCGGAAGTGTTCTCCGGGTGTTTGTAAATAAACATATTAGTTACGAAGCTCTCACGCCGGGAACACCACCCGCGCGTGCGAGAAACGGCAGAGCGAATTAAAACGCGACGCGTACTCCGCGCAAGGGATGTCACGCGCGCGTGTAGAGAGATTGCAGCGACAGAGCTGACGGGATGAATACGCGCGTTCCATCCGCGCGCGTGTGATGTGATTTTAGCTAAGGCTTCTTAATGAACTAAAATGGTTAGTGTCTAACCCTGTAACAGCCATATTGAGTCCGCCACACGGCCGCCGTGCGTATAGCCATATTGAATCTTATCCACACGGCCGCCGTGCGTATAGTCTCGGCCGCCATATATTGGCTGATTGAGATCAAATTTGGCACATTTTATACAACGTACCAGTATGTGCCTCATTTTATTTTTATGTTTTAGTTTACAGGATCAAAACTAGACTATGTAGTCTGCGTACACAGTATTGTAAGGCTTTAAAGCCACCCCCAAGTGGCAGCAAAAGGAGAACAGCAGGGAGAGACAGCTGGCTTATAGAAAATCTGTCATTCCTAAAACCATTCATCAAAATCAGACAATCCATCACGAATATGGAAGTAAGTAAACTTATTAACACTAGTTTACTGTATCATAGCTTCCTGCCATTCAACAGCACCGATACCATTAAAGTACTCATTTAATAACTCTCTTTGTCCTTTTGCACTGGTTTTCGTATTTCTTGCACAATCACGTACTGCTAATCCACGTAAATTTTGCTCCCTCCTCCATTGACCGGGTTGCACTACGTGGTTGTCCTCCTCATAATCGGCAAATCTTGGAGGATTATAATGTGCTGACTGATTAACAATTAGGAAATTGTGGAGTATGCACGCACTCATGATTATGTAGTCCAAAAAGTCTGGATCCAAGCAGATTGTTGTTGAGAAAACTCGAAACCTGTTGGCCAAAATGCCAAAGGCATTCTCGACTACCCTCCTTGCCCTTGACAGACGATAGTTGAAAATCTTTTGATTGTGGTCCATATTTCTATGCGGGTATGGTTTCATGATGTTATGCTGAAGAGGAAATGCATCATCTCCGATTATTTGATATGAACATTTAGGCCCTGTTTCTTCAAGATTTTCAGCTGTCGGAAAGTTCAGGGAATTATCATCCATGGCCTTCTTAAGCGTTGATTCTCTGAATACTCCGGCATCTCCACAGCGGCCTGCTGCTCCTATGTCTACATATATGAAGCGGTAATCCGCATCAACTAATGCCAACAATATGACACTAAAAAAGTGTTTGTAATTGAAGAACTGGCTACCACTATAGCCAGGTTGCCTAATGGCAACATGTTTGCCATCGAGAGCTCCGAGACACAAAGGAAAGTCCCACTTTTCATTGAAGTTTTTTGCAATGGCCTTCCACTCTACTTCGGTCGATGGAGTCTGAAAATAAAGAAAAATAAAATACATGAATTTTTGCTACTATATTTTTAGGACAACATTCAGAGTGAGACTGTAGATGACCTAAATTTGCCATCCGATGAGGAATATGACGAGGAAGTGAAAAGTGATGGAGATGATGGCGAAGAAATAAGAGGCCCGAGCCCTCCTCCAAAAGCATCAACTAGCCGATCTACAAAACGACCTATTGAAACCAAGAAGAAAGTGAGATCTGCCAAACTTCTAAGAAAAGAAAGAGACGAAGTGGAAATCGAAATGATGAAATCCCTGCAAGGGTCACTGGAAAGGGCTACAGCAGGCCCAATTACAGCTCTAGATAAAAAAGAAGAACCTGACAGGTACATTTTTCTGTTTGTTAAATTTTGCGTTTTGATTCTTTCCGTGAATATGTATTATTATACATTTTTAGCTCACCTTGACATCGTCAAGATGAGCTATTGCCATGGCGCGTCATACATCTCTGTATGTCAACAATTCGAATAAGCCAACAGATTTTCACCTTCCCATCGAGCTACGATTCAAAACTTCACAGACACATTGACCTATATGCACACTAGAGCAAGTTTGAGCAATTAGGTCATCGGTTCTAAACTTGGCCACCATGGGAAATTTTTAACAATTCACATTCAAGTTTTCTGCGTATGCATCTAGTATCAGTGTATCATCAAGCAAGGTGAGCTACAGTGTCTTTGACACTTTCATGTAGTATTTTTTTGAGATTGCCTAATAAATTTATCTCTATCTTTACAGTGATCTAAAAGCCTTCTCACAGTTGATGCTGTACAGCTTGAAGGACATGAACAAATATACACAGAGCATCGCAAAACACGAAATACAGAACATAATTTTCAAGGCGCAGATGGGTACACTAGGAAGATTACAATCCCAGGAGTTCCGGGGTCAACGCCAAAGTGCATATACATGTAGTTACCCTCCCAAGGCACAGACAGAAGGTCAGCTGTACGATACAACTAATCCTCCGTCACAAATGAGCTTCGTGGAATCAATGAACTTTCACAATCTTTGAGTAGTTCATACAGGCTGATTAAAGTTTGCAGGGGTCAGTTTTATAGCGGTGGTTAAATTTAACTTCACATTTTCTATTACTTTATCCAGGTTTGAATTTAAACCACAACCATAGAACTGGCTCTCCTGCTACATGTAGATAATATTGTTATCTTTTTGCAATTGTTCATTCAAGAATTATTCCGTTGTTACTTTGGTTTTAACTAAAAAAAAAAATTCAAGTGTAATAACAGGGAGCCATCCATATAAAGTAGGTATGGTACACATATAAGGAGGTATGCATATATACTTTATGGATGGGTCTCTTGGTCTAATCAGATCACACCGATTTATATATTAATGCCTGTTGTCGGGGCACTATGCTCTCATAGTGCCCGAGCGGTAACGAGTTGTTGTTGTTGTTGTTGTTGTTGGTTGTTGTTTTGCAATCTTTGAATACATGCAAGTTTAAACCTACATGTTTACTACTGTTGCAAAACAACCGGTTGGTCATTACCCATTCGTTTCATGGACTGACACTGTACTATTGTAAAAGATTTTAAGAAAATAAATATATTTATTGTTTTATTTTGTACCTTCAAATATTCATTCTTCATTGTATCAACAATCGCTGCAGTCGTTTCTTTTATAATCTCGGAGATGGTCCTTTCACCCATTCTGTACTGGAATGAAAGACTGCGGAAACTCTCCCCTGCAAGGTTAAAACAATACACATTAAAATGCTGGTTTGTGCGAAGCCATAGAATAGGCCGAATTGGACATAACTGCCATGTACCACGCTATTAATTTTTTATCAGGTTTTAATAATGATGCATTTAATTTTATTGGCGGTCTTTCACGGTTTTTAGTATGGCTCAAGGGGTCGTTGTCGTAACAGGTACTTCAGATATGTACCCGAGGTATATATATGTATACACAAAGTGTACCAGACTTGTACTACAGAAGTGTACCCTAACCCTAACCCTAACTCTAACCCTAACCCTAAACATACGTCATATAAAAATATAAACATAATACTAAACAACCTAAAACTACCTCGGGTACATATCTGTAGTACCGCACGAAAGGTCGTTGTCGTAACAGGTAGGCATATGTCCGCATTAAATTTAGGCGGGTGTAGCTCAAACTTGTACTATAGCCCGCGGATCGCTGCCGCAGGGTGCGTCAGCCGCGGGCTATAGCTGGTACTAGAGCTAAGGCGGGTGATGATGGAAGGATAAAGACAAAGTCAAGAAATTATGAAAATTACTTACCTGTAGCCAGAAACCTTAGAGTAACTGATAGCCTTTCTTTGGCTGTTATAGCTTGTCGCATAACAGTGTCTTCTTTAGTGATCTTGTCCTTGATCTTGTCCAAAATATGTAAAAACGACTCGGGGCTCATCCTCAAGTATTGTCTGAATCCTTCAGTGTCTTCTAAATACAGTTCCTGCTGCAAGTTTCGTACTATTCCCAGTGTTCGCCGTCTTTGAATCCACTGCCTGGTCCATGTTTGACGGTTTCTTCTATTCCTTCGCCGGCGTAAACGCTTGAAAATGATTAAAATAAACACAGCAACTTGTTGCAAATATGCCAAATCGACGGCTGCCATTTTCCAGAAAAAATCCACATGGAAAGATGGCGCCACCTTGCAGAAATTATCGTAGGTGTTCCCCGCACACCTACATCGCTTCATCGTTTCATCGTTTCATCGTTTCATCGTTTCATCGTTCGTAAAAATCGTCCGGTGTGCGGTGGGCTTAAGCGTCCGCGATTGTTCACCGTTGCACTACTTCGTCTCTAGAAAAGGCCTTTTTTGGCATTTTTTTTCGCCGAAATTCGGCACTAGTGTAGTGCCTCTAGGGTAGACGACTACGGTTCGACAGACGTTATAGTTTACAACGCGTGTCCAGTTGTGGGATCAGTGTCCGCTCCTGTCGATGTATTAGACAAGACGGCGATGAGCACGTAGCAGATAACAGGTGAACAGAACAGAACACGGTGAGCTGCGGTTAACGATACGGTTA